CAAACTTGTGATTATTATTTTAAAATGAACACAGAAGACATGTTGTTAGATGTATTATATATACACACATTATAGGCGTAACACTTCTACTTCCCAACCATTCCATAATCTTTGTTGTAACCGGCTCAAAATGGATGATAAACTCCGATTATCCGTAGGAATTTTGGGTATTTTCTTGCTTTTTAGTGTAATATTATGTTTTCTAAATCTATCCCATGCTCTGTTTTCTAAATTTTATTTATATACTTTTCTTTAAACAAGTACTCTTGGTTTGAATAATGTCAGAAATTTGTCACAATACCAGAAACAAATTTGTATGAGTTTTTATTGCTTAAAACTTATTCATGGACCTTTCCCAGGAAACGGAGCTTCCTTCCTGCTCTATACAGCTCCAATGTACGTAACAAAAATCAAATAGCCAGTTACCTTCTCTTTGATCTTCTTATCTCCAGATTTACTTTCACTTATGTTCAAAAAAAAAAAAAAATCAAATAGCCATTTTAGTTTGAATTTAATTTTTGGAACACTTTTTTTAACACAGCCAATTTAGTTTGAGTTAAAAAAAAAATTTATCAAAGTTTGAATTAACTAAGAAATTAAACTATAACTTATTTTTCTTAATTGGCATGCAGATTGACATTTTCAAGGGTGTTTAAGAAGAAAAGCACAGAGGAATTCTCATGCTTTCCTTACGTTATGACACTTTTCAACTGTTTGATTTACACTTGGTACGGTTTACCGATTGTGAGTCATCGTTGGGAGAATTTTCCTCTCGTCACCATTAATGGAGTTGGGATCGTTCTTGAATCAATCTTCATTTTCGTATATTTTTGTTACACGTCGCCCAAAGAAAAGGTACGTACTTCATTACAATCAATATGATATTGTTTTATGATTTGGTAAAGTTAAAATAGTGACATTGATCTATATAAATATATGAATTAGATTAAGGTTGGTGTTATATTTATTCCGGTGATCGTTGTGTTCGGGTTAACAACGGCAATCTCAGCCGTCGTGTTTGACGACCACCGCCACCGCAAATCATTCGTCGGAAGTGTTGGCCTCGTGGCTTCTATCTCCATGTATGGTTCTCCTCTCGTCGTTATGGTAAGCTATATAAATATATATGCACTAGGTGATATTCCCGTGCTCATGCACGGGCATAAATATTTATAATAGTTGATTGATATTTACTTTAACTTTTATATTACTTTATAGTTTTTATGTATAATTATATTAATAATATTATATTATTTTAGTTATATATAATTTTAGATATATTATATTTAGTAGTTTATCATTTGGATATATATATATATATATATATATTGGATTCTATATATTTCTCTGAATTCAACTATAATCTTTTTTATTCTAAATATCTTAAACTTTTGATTAATTGTTTTATTTACATTTATGTTGGTTGTTATCTTAGAAATATCAGTATATCTTAGGTAAGATTATGTATTTTAATATTTTTTGTGCTTAGAACGAAAAAAATAAAAACTAAAGTGTCTGATTCTAAATTACATACATAGGTAATAATAAATTTTCAGAAGCTTATGAAAACATATCAATATTTACAATAATTAAATATTTTAGAAATTTTAAATAATTTATGCCTTAGATTGATTGGATGGTAAACTGAAATTTATTTTAAATAATTTTAAAAATAAAGAATTATAATTTTCTTAAGTATTTTGATTATGGTTATATTAAATTCCACAAACATAAAAACAGAAAATTAAACAGCAAAAGAGTTATTGAAAAATATATAATTTTAACTATTAAAATATAATATATCTACCTCGTTAAATTATATAGTGTTATGATATTTTAAAAGAATTGTAGTTATCTGATCAAAAGATGTTTACCATTAAATTTATTTTTAGTTTTGTTTTTAATATCTCTTAAAATATGCAGTAAAAATGTGATTATTTTTGAGAAATTATATTATATAAGTAATATATAATTTATATTTTTTGTTGTAACGGTAAGATATATACTCAAATAAATATACTAATTATATTTTTTTGTCAATTAAACATATATCAGTTTATGTTACTTAATTATTTTATGTAATCATCTAATAAAATAGATAGATATATACAAAAACTAATTACTTTGAAAATATATATTTTATTGTTTAAATTATTTTTTTAAAGAAAAAAATATTTCTTTTTCTAATATCAAGATTATTTGTATGAATTTTTTTTATGAAAACACATTATATACAAATATTTTTTTCATCTAAGAAGATATATATATAAAGTATAATTACTTAAAAAAGTATAATTTATGTTATTTAAAAATATG